CAAAACTATTAGTTCGTCTCATCCTTCTAGCACTACCATTATTTCTGATCCCTTTCACATCATTCATACCGATCTCTGGGGTCCTGCTACTGCAGTTTCCCATCGTGGTTTTTGATATTTTGCCCTTTTTATCGATCATGCTACTAGATTTACTTGGGTTTATTTTCTCCGCCTTAAATCTGAACTTAAATCTGTAGCCACCGAATTTCTAAAGATGATCAATACTCAATTTGGTCGTCCGGTGAAAATTATCCGATCAGATCCTGGGGGGAATTTAGTTCATTTCCGTTATATGATGTGTATCGATCTCTTGGTGTCTTGACTCAGCAATCGTGTCCTGGGGTGTCGCAGCAAAACGGACTAGTTGAGCGTAAAAATTGCCATGTGATGGACTTAACTCGTGCTATGTTACTGGCGTCACATGTGCCTGATAAATTTTGGCCTGAAGTCGTCGCTACTGTTGTTCGCCTTATTAATTATCAGGTTACTCCTGTTTTGAAAAATACTAGTTCGTTTTTTGCTCTTCACTCCCGTCATCCTAGCTACTCTCGTCTTCGCGTTTTTGGTTGTCTATGCTTTGTTCTACTTCCAAAACGTGAACGTACTAAACTGTCTTCCAAAACTGCTCGTTGTGTGTTTCTTGGGTACAATGATATTCATAAAGGCTATCTATGTTACGATCCTGCCTCTCAATGCATGCGCATAGCCAGTTCGGTGGTTTTCTTTGAAAATATCATGTTCTATCCCGATTCACCCGAGTCCTCTCAGCTCTTGGCACCTGGCTCTCCTCTCCCTGTGTTCGGTGATGATAATGATCCATTCATCCCGCATTTTGATCCCCCTGATCCTCCCAGCACTGATCTGTTCTCCCCGCCGCCACATTCGTCCGACTCCTCCAGCGGCTCCAGCTCACCACATGCGCCCCTCCATTCGGACTCCTCAGCATCGTCCAGTGCTTCTACACCGTCCATCTCCACATCATCTCCCGGCTCTCCCTCCGCATCACCTGACGCATCCTCTTCTGCGAGCTCTCCAGTGCGGCGGATGCCCCAGCTCCCCGCCGTTCCGATCGGGCTACAAAAGGTATACCCCCTCCACGATATAATGATTTTGTTGCTCATGGGGTTGATAATTTTGTAGTGCCGACTCGCTATCGCCAAGCCCAGGCCGATCCTCGATGGGATGCGGCCATGCGCCGAGAGTTGGACGCTCTCCATGAAAGCAACACATGGACGTTGGTTCCCCGACAACCTTCTTCTACCTCCGTTGTCGGCTGCAAGTGGGTGTACACTGTCAAGATGAACCCGGATGGTTCTGTTGATCGCTACAAAGCTCGACTTGTAGCTCAGGGCTTCACCCAAGAATACGGCATTGACTACAACGAAACTGTTGCTCCGGTGGCGAAGATGTCCACTGTTCACACACTACTGGCGGTTGCTTCTCGTCAGAACTGACCTTTACATCAACTGGATGTAAAGAATGCGTTCTTGCACGGTGATCTCGAGGAGGTCATTTATATGGAGCGCCCACCGGGATATGACTTAGGTACTCCGGATCAGGTCTGTCGGCTCAATCGCTCTCTCTATGGACTCAAACAAGCACCTCGTGCTTGGTTTGAGAAATTTCATACCACAATCAGTCAACTCGGTTTTCGCCAGAGTCAGAACGATCCTTCCCTCTTTATTCGAATGACTGCTGCTAGTATTGTTGCTCTTTTACTCTACGTTGATGATATGGTTATTACCGGTTCTGATCTTCAGGGTATTCAGAGTCTGAAAGACGGGTTGAGTGCCGCCTTTAATATCAAGGATCTCGGTGATTTGTCTTATTTTCTTGGTCTTGAGGTTGTTCGTGATTCCAGTGGTATTCTTCTCTGTCAGCGCAAGTATATTTCTGATTTACTTGATGATCATCAGTTTGCTGATTGTCGTCCAGTTGCTACACCCATGGAGATGAATGTCAAATTAGGTCGTGATTCTGGGAATCTATTTCCTGATGGTGCGGCCTATCGAAGTATTGTGGGCAGTCTGATCTATCTCGCTGCTACTCGTCCGGATATATCTTATGCTGTTTAGGTAGTCAGTCAATTTATGGCGTCACCTCGTACTGATCATCTGTCTGCCGTTCACCGTGTCCTGCGTTATCTTCAAGGGACGCGTGATGTGGGTATACGGTTTCCAGCTTCTGGTCCTATGGTTCTCCGAGCATACTCTGACTCTGATTTTGCTGGGTGTATTGATAATCGACAGTCTACTACGGGGTGGTGTGTGCAGTTTGGTGATTCATTTATTTCATGGCGTTGCAAGAAGCAGGATAAGGTTTCTAAATCTTCTACTGAGGCGGAGTACAGGGCTATGTCTGATGTTGCCTCGGAACTTGTTTGGCTACAGCGTCTGTTGGTTGATCTGGGGGTTGTCTGCTCTCTACCTATGGATCTTTTTGTTGACAATACCAGTGCTATCCGGATTGCGGTTAATCCTGTTCTTCATGACCGCACTAAACATATTGAAATTCATGTTCACTATGTACGGGATCTAGTTGGTGCTGGCACGCTTACCCTTCATCATATTCGCACAGAGGATTAGGTTGCCGATCTCTTCACCGAGGCTTTTTCTACAAGTCGTCACTGGTACCTGTCGAACAAATTGATGCTTTCCAATCAGCATCAATTTGGGGGAGGCTGTTAGAGAGTTAAATCCCATGTATCTGTATTTGTATACGTAGCCCATAGCCCATGTATCTTATATGTAGATGTAGGCCTTTTTCTTCTTGTAACCAAGACAGTGAATGCAATCACCGTTTTTGACCAAAACGGTGATAGCATCATCGCTTTGGACCAAAACAGACTGTCTTGGACAAAAGCGATGATGCTATCACCGTTTTGGACCAATACGGTGATTGCATCACTGTCTTGGTTAAAAGCGATGATAGCATCATCGCTTTCTACCAAAACGGTGATGCAATCAACGTTTTGGTCCAAAACGGTGAAACTCGACCTTATCATCGCGGATGTGTAAAGCGATGATATCATCGCTGATGTGTAAAACGGTGATAATTGACACGTTTTACCGGCCTGGTAGGTGGAAATTAGGTCACAGCTTCCATAGCCCATGTATCTTATATGTAGATGTAGGCCTTTTTCTTCTTCTTGTAACCGACCCATGAAGTCCATGCAACTTGGACGTGGGAGCTAGGGTTCGGTGCTGGCTGTTAGGGGTATATATATGTTGCTAGAGCTTAGGTTGAGGTACGCAGACTATTATCATAATCACATCAGTAGCTGAATAGTTTATACTCTTCCGTGGATTAGTCCTGGATACTGCAGGGATACCACGCAAATCCGGTTGTTCGTGTTCTTTTGATTTCGCTATTTCCTATTGATTATCATCATCAGGTCGACCCATTTCTGGATGTGGTTGACCGGTTGACTAAAGTGGTATACCACTTGGTGGAAGAGGTCGACCACTAGGTGGAAGAGGTTGACCAGTTGAAGGTAACTGTGTCATTAAGTCAACCCATTTCCGGTAGTGGTAGACTCATAGACTCAAGTGGTCGACCATTTGGTAGAAAAGGTCGACCATTTTCTGGTAAAGTGTTCGACCACTTAATAGAAGAGGTCAACCATTTTTTTCAAGTTACTGTGACTTGCAAGTCACCATATGCATACCCTATAATATATTGATGGACTATTTCAAATATGAGTTTTGTAAGATTTTGTACCTATATACTCCAATTTTTATAAAGAAAATAAACATAAGAATAAATGATGAATTGATCGTTTGTTCTGGGAATGAGTACGCCTAGCAAGTTGCCAAGTTCCCAAGAAAGATAGACCGGGTCGGAAGAAACTAATCAACTTAAAATGGTTATGTTTGGATTACCAAACCACATGTCTGGTTAATTTAACGGTTAAACCACAAAGTTTTGGACAATTAAGACAAACACGACAGAAAGCGGTAGGGTATTGTGATAAAGGAGAGAGTTATCTAATGTCAGTCCAAATTTGATAAAGTGATTGAGATGGATGAATGTCAGATTATACATATCAATTTCCCCACGTACTTGTCAATTTTCGGGAAAAAATCCCATAATACTCTAATTATTAAAAAAAATTCTCAAAATACAGTACTTATAAAATTATTTCCCAAAATACAGCAGTTTGGTTATCACCGCTGCAAACCAAGACAGTGAATGCAATCACCATTTTGGTCCAAAACGGTGAAACTCGACCTTATCATCGCGGATGTGTAAAGCGATGATATCATCGCTGATGTGTAAAACGGTGATAATTGACACGTTTTACCGGCCTGGTAGGTGGAAATTAGGTCACAGCTACCAAGCAATCACCGCTGAGGACAATGGCGGTGAATACATCACTGTTCTCGTCAAAGGCGGTGATTGCAAAAAAAAAATTTCTATAAATACTGACCTCCACTTCCCCTATTGCTACTTTACAGAAAATTAGTACAAAAATTAGTGTTTTATTAGTCGTTTTCTCAGCTGGTTTGGAGTTGGTTTACTGCTCAAGAAACTCGTCGGGATTCGGTATGTTATAATTATGTAATGTTTACATGTTGATGTGTTAGTAATTTATATGTCTGTATTTAGTGAATTGCGGTTATTGGGAAATATGTTATGATATATTTAGATTAATTATGATATTGATAGATGTTAGTTAATTAGTTATGAATTTAGATGAATTTGTTTAGTTTTCTCATGATAGATCGGGAGTCGGTATGTTATAATTATGTATTGTTTACATGTTGATGTGTTAGTAAATATATGTCTGTATTTAGTGAATTGCGGTTATTGGAAAATATATTATGATATATTTAGATTAATTATGATATGATAGTAGTGAATTAGTTATGAATTTAGATGAATTTGTTTAGTTTTCTCATGATAGATCAATTACATGCGTTTGTTTATGGGTTTGGATGATATTGTTTTTGTATCCCTAATGTACTAATTATATACTATACTTAATTATTATAAATTGCAGACATGGTTAAATTTAAGAAGTTTCGGCTTATTATTCGGTGGAATGGTCGGGTGACAAACTCGAACATTGGCATCGACTATGAAAATGGCGAATCCACTATGCTAAAAATTGAGTCGAGATTCTCGTGGCAAGAACTCCATGACATTTGTGCAGAAAGGACTTGTACGGGCGAGCAAAGGAGAGTTGGTCAAATTGCTTACCGCTATCCAAACATGAGTGCTGGCGGAGTTGTGTACGAAAAAGTTGTCATAAACGATGATGACTCGGTGAACATGATGATACAGTTCCTATCTGACAACGGGTTGCGGCTTGCAGAGGTGTATGTCGAGACCGAGCCAGTCGGTGAAACTCATTCTCACCAGTATTCTTGTGATGATGGTTTTGCAGGAGGGTATGGCTGGGGTGGTAGTTCAAGTAACTATGAAGGAGGTAACTACGAAGGAGGTACTTCTGCAGGAGGGTATGGGTGGGGTGGTACTTCAAGCAACTACGGAGGAGGTAGTTATGAAGGAGGTGGTGGTTGGGAAGAATACCTGCAACCAACTGAGACTGCCGTCAATATCGTTCAGCCCGACGGTGATCAATGGCCTGCTTGGGGTCCAGAGTGGGCTGACATTGCGAACAACCTTCGATCTGGGCGTTCTTCGCATGACCAACAAGACGATGTTGGTTATGCCGGCAACGATGACCATCCTGAGTCGAGCTATCCATTCGCCTCTAGTGACGATGAAAGTGAGGAAGATTTGACATCAGTCAGTGAGGAGGAAGATACGGACGATATCGACGATATCGATGACAGAGAGGTGGCGTTCCGTCAGGCACCAACACCTTACTACACAGAGAGGTGGCGTTCCGTCAGGCACCAACACCTTACCACGTTCCTTACTTGGCAATAGATCTAAATTAGCTAAATACGATTTGGTTAGAAAAATCTAGCTAAATTTCCTAACTTGGAAGATATCTAAATTCACTAAATACTATAATTGCAGACCTAAAATGTCACTTAATTTCCTTACTTGAAAGATATCTAAGTTCACTAAAATTCACTAAATTCGCTTACTTGGAATAGATCTAAATTCACTAAAATTCACTAAATTCGCTTACTTGGAATAGATCTAAATTCACTAAAATACTACCATTGCATATCTAAAATAAATTAAACTTAAATTAAACTTACTTGAAACCATATGGGGGATTTGCTACAAATCGTAGCTCATCGTCTGGCAACCAGAATTCCCGAGGGTCTCGAGGTGCTAAAAACGGAAGATGCTCCCATGCCCAGAGTTGGAGTATGAACATCGCACCGCCAGCTTGTTTCGCTCCCAACCTCGAGCAAGTACACAACTCTCGGTAGATCCCAGCCAAGACGGCCGACCCCCAACTTTTTTTCCCAATCTCGTCCCAGTCACCGAAAAGCATATTTAACCACATGCCTTGTGTCCACCGGTTTGACTTGTCGGGGAACAGAAACCCACCAACCAAACCAATTAGGTAGACACGTGCATACTGCTCCACCTGATCTTCAGGAGTGTCGGGGCCTATGTTAACCTCCATTTGGATGTGGTCAACAAGCCACGCGACCGATACTTGCCCCGCATTCAGTGGTGGATGCCCATGATCGTCGACGGGCGTGGTGGTCGGCATGTCGAACCCCAAATGCTCTAGAATCAACGGCCCCCAACCATCTTCCGGTTTTTTCGAGCTATCGATGATGGCATCTCCGGTGATCGGGAGCCCGGTGAGGATGGCAACATCTTTGAGGGTGATCGTCATTTCACCCTCGGGAAAGTGGAAGGTATGCAGCTCGGGGCGCCATCGCTCTGCCATTGCCGTCAGCAGATCGTTGTCAATATCAAGCCTCGTAAAGTGCCTCAGCATGTGCAATCCTGTCCTCTCTATATAGGGCTGCAGTCGATCATGCCAACGGGGCAATCGACATGTCCCTCGATGAGCGATGGGAATAAGTGATTCCTACAAAACAAAAAACACAATATTATCAGTCAATATAAAGAAAAATAAAAACTTTAAAACTATTGAAATAAATTTAGTGTGTCTACCGGATTATTGTTCCAAATTGAACGGGAGCGATGTTGATCTTGCCCGGTTAAATACCTTCAATCCCTTGGGCCAGGATCGATATACAATCGAGGGTCGTATATCTCAGCACCCATCTATAAAAAAATATAAAATCAAATCAATTTAAATTTGAGCACCCATGTAAAAAAAAATCACAAAAGAATAAAATTAATTTACGTACTCTCAAAGCCTCTTCGTCCATTTTTTGCCGAAAAGCTAGCGAGAGTATCGACAAAACAAAAACTCTAGTAATTCTTTCTGATGCGGAAGATCGGACTTAGCCGCAACCACAGAGCATACTTAGAACGAAACTAGAGGAAAGTAAAGGAGGGAGAAAGAAGTATAAGATTTTGGTGTGGTTTGGAATGAGGGGGGGGGGGGGGGGGGGGGGGGGGGGGGGGGAGTGGTATTTATAGGGGAAAGGGGGGAAAGGGGCGCTGGAAAAAATTACCAGGGACCAATCACCGCATCTGATAAAGGCAGTGAAATCACTGCGTCCAACAAAAGCGGTGATGGACTGGATAGCTGACGTGGCGCGGCGTGAGGCGTCGGATCGTGGAGAAAAACCACAATCCGCGCCTCACTGGATCCAACGGCAGCGGTGAAAGGCGCGGGTGGCGCGGATCGCTGACGTGGAAAGCGGGGCTATCACTGCTTTGGTCAGCGGTGATAGCCCCGCTTTCCACGTCAGCGATCTGCGCCACTTCACCGCTTTTTGCTTCAACGGTGAGGATCCTTCATCGCGTCGCAAATCAACGGTGAATTAATCACCGCCATTAACCACAGTGATGATAGCATCACTGTTGTTGTCCACAGCGATGATGCTATCACCGTTTTTGTCCAAAACGGTGATTTCATTCACTGTCTTGGTTTGCAGTGGTGATAACCAAACTGCTGTATTTTGGGAAATATTTTTATAAGTACTGTATTTTGGGAATTTTTTTTAATAATTAATGTATTATGGGATTTTTTCCCAATTTTCGAGACCAACAGACTGAGTCCCGCACGCTCGTCTTTAGCTCGAATATCCCTATTACAGTGTACAGATATATTTGAAGAATTACTCACTTTTATCAATTTCCCTATCTACTATACTTTTGCGTAAAAATTACTATTATTAATATATAAGGTCGAAGTGAAGTTACTGCCTAAACTATTGCATTCTGAAATTCTAAATTTATTGAAATTACAGCTTAGTAACTATAATGTACAGTTTATATTTTGATACCCCAAATTTAATTTTAATGTAAAATAATTAAACAATTATGTTTTGGTATCTAAATTTTATAAGATTTTCGTACCTACAATGTTTTACATTTACATATTGGTCCAATGTTTAGATTTCACTTGAATCCATGAATCCGACGATTCTGAAATATTGCAAGAGTGACTTTATAAACTCATTTAGTACATTTACAGGGTACTAAACAAACTTCTACTAACTACATGTAACAAAATATGTGGTATCTACATAAGCAAGTGTAAATAAATCGCTCCGGTGAAAACGGTTGACTATTGTATTGACGGTCAACTAAAAGAATTGATCAAAACATTTCCATCATCTACTTCCTCTTTATTTCATTTTTTAATCGCCTTCCATAACTCTTTCTTTATTTCTTTCTTTGCCTTCGTCTAACCCTAATTAGTATACTATTTGTATATATTTTAATCACAAGTACGAACGAGTCCATGCACGACTGACCAATAGTCTAGAGAATTAATAATTGAACCATGAATCACTAACTTTTTCAGCTCAGTGTTGAGTCCAATTAAAAAAAATATGGTTATTACTGATTAGAAAGTCGTCATTTTCCACTATGGAATTTGAAGGCGAGAAATTTTAAGCGAGTTCCAGTTTGTATTCCCTTTGCTTCTCTCTAGAGTTTTTCTTTTTTTTTTCATCCGGGCTAGAATTTTCAACAATTATACATATTAAATAAATAGTTTCCTATTTTCTATAAAAAAATAAATAATTATCATCTTAAATACATCACCATAAAATAAATTAAGCCTCAACTATATGCTAAATTTATTTTTTAGGCATATAATTCCTCGAAATATTGATGGAACATTACATTAGTACCTAAAATTTTTGTGTATTACATTTTAGTACCTGTACTTTTGAAGTTCTACAAATTGGTCTAATTTTTGTATATGTAATTAAAACGCCATCGAATAAATGGGTATCTGATAGACCGGTAATTACACATATTTTCACCCCTATTCTTGAGCCGTTTGAGAGGTTGACTCTCGGGTTTTAAGCCGATTTCACGAAAGGTTGTGTGTTTATGTCGTATTTCAGGACCCGGTGTTGGAATCGAGGCGAAGGAACGGGATTTGGGTCGAAAGGAGCAAGTGAGGCTTGAAGTGTGCTGGAGGAAGAAAATACCCGGCCAAGACCAAAAATACCCGGCCGGGTATTATTCTGAGGAGGCCGGGTATTTATCATTTTGGGCACCCGTGAGAAACAGAGGGGGGCCCGGTCGTGAAGCTTAAATCCCCGACCGGGGATTATTGGAGCAGACCGGGGATTTTCCCCTAGCATGAAACGTGCGTTTTAATAATACCCGACCGGGTATCCCGACAGGCAGCTGTTTTAAAGGAAAAAAAGGCCAAAGATCAAGGGGATTCGAGTTATAGAGAGACAGAGCGATTCCTAGAGAGAGAAAGCGACGAACAAGAGTCTCCAAGTGCCCTAGCTTGATCTTCATCACCATTGGAGGCCAGCTTGAGCTTGGAGAAGTGCCGATCAACGTCCAGGAGCAGGAATCCATCCTTCACAGTATGAATTTCGCGTCAGATTCTGCTTTTGCTTCTTTCTCCATGGAGTAGTTCTCCCATTCATCTGGGTATGGAGAACCCTAGATCTGTATGTTAGGTTTGATTGTATGAACCCAAGTACTGATTCTATGATTTGATTGATGTTGTGTTCGTGTGTTGTGGATCTTATGTCTTGAGTTAGGTTGTGTCTCCCTGGTCTGTGATGTCTTTTCTCCAATTATCGTTCTCTTGTCTGAATTGTTGCTTAGGGACAAGCAAGTACTGAGTGTGGGGTTTTGATAATTGTCGAAAACATATTGATTTTGTGAGCTTAGTGTGATTATTACATAATATGTTTGCGACATATAATGCTTGTTTTTGGGTTCAACTAAGCCTGGAATGATTATAAAACCATTACCGTAGAGTGCCAAATATTTTATTTGTTTCAGGTAAATGAAATGAAAAATTGGCATTGCTTAATGGAGTAATTCAAATGGACCGAATGGGCTTTTCTTGAATTAATTGAACCAGCCATAGAAGCCGCTTGGAAAGGAGACAAAAGGGTCGGACCGGGAGAAGGCTAGGAAGCAACTTGGGACACGGAATTCTGGGCGGAACAAAAGAGAAGGGAATTATATTTTGGGCTGGAGACTTTGAAGAAAAGGAATTCCTTGGGAAGGATTTACTTGGACCGGAAATTAAAAGGAACAGGAGGAAAGAAAAATAAAGGGGAGAGGATCATTATTTGGGACACGGAACTGGAGAATAAGGAGGGAGGGAAGCAGAATTAATTCTCTGGGGGGAAGGAGACGATTTTAATTTTGAGAGAGGAATCTCTTTTGGGCGAAAGAAAAGCGAGGGCAGCGGAAGGCTTGGGACGAGCAAATTCCATCGAACGGCAATTGCTGATTGAGCTTTCCAAGGCGGCTTGAGCTGATTTCAACCAGGGCGATTACTTTGGTTGGATTTTCTAGACCGAACTAGTTGTTTATTGTTGATTTAGAACATGATGAACAAAACCCTATTGTTTTATCTAAGTTTCGTCATGAACTAAACCCCAATTTCTGGGGGAAACACCATAAGATGTAGCTATTTCTTGACTTGATGGATTAATTCTTAATTCTTTTCTTCCAATCTCTATTGCATGAAATTGCTTAATGCTTTGTGTTGACTGGCCCCCAATACATTGATTTGTTGTTCATTAGGTTATTAGCGACAGTGAAACCCTAATAACTGAACCTATTTCATGTGACATAGTAACTTATCGAAGCGACAGTGGATTAAATAAGGTACTATGCGGTCTTGATTGGGATATCATTCTTCAGGCTAAATAATTAAGTTATTGAGCTATGACAGTAGGATTTGATTTAATTATTTAGTACGTAGTAATTCCCGACAGGGATAGCTAGCACATTCGTGATATCCTGGCTGTAGAGAATTGGATTAAACTGATTGGATTATGTGAATTAATTTTGATATGATAGGTAGTGAGTCCCGATGTCTCTCCCAGAGCTTTCTCCATTGAATTTCTCCCGAACAGTTTTCATTTAGTTACTTTGTTTATTTTATTTTGCTTTTAGAAATTAGTCTCATTTAACAATTTTCACTTATAGTTTTCTCATAAAATTGATAGAACTTAAGGTTGTACCAGTCCCTGAGAGACGATACCCGGACTTCCCGGTTTTACTACAAGATAGGAATTGGCATTACGCTTTTGCCCTATCAACCATCATCATCATCACCACCATGGACACCATGAGCATTGTCTATTCGCACATACTCACCATTACGCAGCTCAAAGCCCATTGCGTAAGTTCACCCAACAACTTAGAGACATGATTAAAAGCAGCTTCACTACCACACGCGATGTCACACAAACGCTTACACTTTAGAGACAATCCCCCATGTCTTATCATTCAACCAACTTTCTCTGCCATATCACCTCCAACTCCAGGATGACGATATAGTGTCTTCGCATTTTGGGTCCATCGAAGCTTGAACCACGTGGAGGGTAGCGCTGTAAATCTCTTATTTTTTCTGACTGGAAGCCTATGTCTGCATGAAAACCCCTTAGATTCAAATAATGCACACTCACATTTTAGATCTTGATTGGTCGTAGTAAATGTTAACCTCCTTATCTGATTTGGGTTCATGCAGTTCTTCAGAATGAATGTCTATGTCCCATCTGATTCAGTTCTTGTCTCCGCTAATACATAAATAGCTTCATTCTCTAGTTCAAACTTGAAGATAGCAAATGTACGATGTGTGTAGATACTTTCAGCTTGCATTTTCCATGTGCGAAGGGCATGCTTGCAGACCAACCTCGTGTGCCTAGAATAATAATCATCATGCACCTCCGTGAAATGCATCCCTTCTAGTGCTTCATCAATGCCCGGAACAAAAAGTTACAAGTTGTATTGAGTTCCCACATACCCATTTATCCAATGGTTACATGACTCACATCGCGAGGTTGATTGGAGTCCACCGAAATAAATATCCTTCAATTATTCTTCTACCCAAAGTAATTTGTCAGCGTACAAATCTTGCAACCACTTATTTGCAGACAAACCATGCTCACTAATCAAACGCTCTCAGCCCCTCTCAAACTCCTCACTTGATATACGTGCTTTCGCCAAGTGGCTAAATGCGCTAACGAACTCTCTATTATGAACGACTGTTGTTGCATTTGTCTCAATATGCCAAATACACAAACAGTGAGGCACTCCAACCAGAACGGTAGTAATGGCGCCACGCATAGACTTGCATCCGTCTGTGATCACTGAAGTCGGCATCTTAGAGTTCATACACTACAGAAAAGAATTCAACAGCCAAACGTAGTTGGGGATTGTCTCGTTATCCAACTGGGAAAAACAATAAATGATGTTACAGTGGTGGTGATTTACACCAACCATCATAACAAATGGTCGATTGTACTTGTTGCGCTTGTAGCATGCATCAAACGCCAAGACATCCCAAAAAATGGTAATCTGCTTTCGATGTGGAGTCTGACCAAAAGAGATTGCTTAATTCACCTTGATCGTTGGTTGTGTACTTGAAGAATCTGTTAGCATCAGAAGGATGTTTACTTTGCAAGTAACCCAATGTTTGGTTCACATCTCCTA